ATGTCCCCACTGAGATGAGCTGTCCCCACAAAGATGGTGTCCCCATGGAGGTGTCCTCATGGACATGAGCTGTCCCCATAAAGACGTGTCCCCACGCAGATGTCCCCATGAAGATGATGTGTCCCCATGGAGATGTCCCCATAAAGACGATGTCCCTCCTGAGATGAGCTGTCTCCAAAAAGATGGTGTCCCCATGGAGGTGTCCCCATGAAGATGATGTGTCCCATGGAGATGTCCCCACTGAGATGAGCTGTCCCCACACAGATGTCCCCACGAAGACATGTCCCCATGGAGGTGTCCCCATGAAGATGATGTGTCCCACGGAGATGTCCCCACTGAGATGAGCTGTCCCCACAAAGATGGTGTCCCCATGGAGGTGTCCTCATGGACATGAGCTGTCCCCATAAAGNATGTCCCCACTGAGATGAGCTGTCCCCACAAAGATGGTGTCCCCATGGAGGTGTCCTCATGGACATGAGCTGTCCCCATAAAGACGTGTCCCCACGCAGATGTCCCCATGAAGATGATGTGTCCCACGGAGCTGTCCCCACAGAGATGACATGTCCCCACGGAGCTGTCCCCATGTAGATGACGTGTCCCCACACAGATGTCCCCACGAAGACATGTCCCCATGGAGGTGTCCCCATGAAGATGATGTGTCCCCACAGAGATGTCCCCACTGAGATAAGCTGTCCCCACAAAGATGGTGTCCCCATGGATCTGTCCCCATGAAGATGATGTCTCCATGGAGATATGACCCCACGAAGATGATGTGTTCCCATGGAGATGTCCCCATGGAGATGATGTGTCCCACGGAGGTGTCCCCAAGGAGATGAGGTGTCCCCATGGAGGTGTCCTCACAAAGATGATGTTTCCCACAGTGATGAGATGTCCCCATGAAGATGATGTCCCCATGGAGTTGTCCCCACTGAGATGAGCTGTCCCCACAAAGACATGTCCCCATGAGATGTCCCCATGAAGATGATGTCCACATGGAGTTGTCCCCACGGAGCTGAGCTGTCCCCACAAAGACATGTCCCCATGAGATGTCCCCATGAAGATGACGTGTCCCCACAGAGCTGTCACCACAGAGATGACATGTCCCCGCCCCATTACCTGTGGCCTCCACCATGCCCTCGAGGATGACAACGATCTCAAAGTCGTCCCTCTCCAGCTGCCCCCGCGACACGTCCCAGAAGGGGCTGCGCTCGTCGATCTCGTGGCTGATGATGAGCGGCGACACCAGGAACAGGCGGTCGTCGCCCGTCTCGAATCCCACGCTCAGGTCGGTCTGGTCGAGCGGGATGAACTCGCCCTCCTGCGTCTGCTTGGACTGGATGAGCTTGGCGCGGATGGACGCCTCCACGATGTGCGAGTCGCGCAGGTCGCCCACGCGGAACATGAGGCACAGGCGGTCGTCGCGCAGCGACACCACGGCGTGCGACGAGAACACCAGCGTCTCGGCGCGCTTGTTGGGCTGCGAGATCTTGACGAACATGCAGCCCACCATGAAGGCGTTGACCATGGAGCCCAGGATGGCCTGCAGCAGCAGCAGCACGATGCCCTCGGGGCACGTGTCCGTGATGACGCGGTGGCCGTAGCCGATGGTGGTCTCGGTCTCGATGGAGAACAGGAAGGCCGAGACGAAGCCGTTGAGGTTGTTGACGCACGGCGTCCAGCTGCCGTCGCCCAGGTGCTCCAGGTCGCCGCGGCTGTAGGCGATGACCCACCAGATGAGGCCGAAGAAGAGCCAGGTGAGGGCGTAGGCCAGGATGAAGATGAGGAGGCTGAAGCGCCACTTGAGGTCCACCAGGGTGGTGAAGATGTCGGTCAGGTAGCGGTAGGTCTCGCGCACGTTGCCGTGCTGGACGTTGCACTTGCCGTCCTTCTCCACGTAGCGCTGGCGTTTCCGGGCGCCCCCGGAGCCCCCGGCCCCCCACGGGCGGCGTTTGGGGGGTTGGGAGGGCGGGGGAGGG